TACAAGGCATACGTTACGCAAAATTTATCATAGTCTTGGGAAAAAGGTGAAAATAAGAGTCCAGACTGCCACACCTACCACGCCTGAATCCACACTGACTACCCCCTAGCAAATTACTTTTCCAGGGGTTCTCCCTCCAGCCCTTGCCATGGCTTCTAAGCTTTCCCCAATACTACACAGTAAACTCACTGCTCTGTAGTTTCTTGTTTTGACTCTTGCCTTTGGAGTTATCAGTCTGCTGTCCAGTCCCTCCAAGACCTCTCGAATGCGGTTTTACTAGTGTCTGTTGCTGTGAAGCTTTGCTGGTTTCCCCTCTTGGCTCCTTTACAGCTCAGGTGGGCATGCAACCCACAACTGCTGCTTTAAGAACAGCTAAACTTTGTATAACCCATTCTCTTATCGGTACCCTGCCTGGCTCCCCTCTGAGAACCTGATCCCTGACTTTGTTATTTTTCTTCCCATCTCCTCAGAAAAGACAAAAGCAAAGTAACTGTTTAACAACGTTCTTTCTTTATCCCCACCATATGGTATCCACTTTCATTTTAACTGGCTTAGTGGTTCCTTTTATTCTTTGAAGAAAGATCCTTCTGGGCTTATTTGTGTGTGTTCTATAGTTTGCTTTTCATTATTTCTTTTTCTACTTTAATTTTCATCCCTTCTTCTCTTACTCTCCTTTCTATAGTGGCTGCTAAGCAAGGGGCCAGCTAGTACCAGTTGGTTGTGTCTTTGTGGTGGGAATACCTGTCCCCTGTGAACTAGACCTAGGCCCTCCACTTACCCTGCACATGCTTCCTAACAGCTATCGGATGGTAAATGACCTTCCGGCACTGCTAGGCTGGGCTGGATTAGAACCAACACCCGCAGGTGAGGGAGAGTAGCTCTTATCTAGTAGTTAGAGCACAGGAGGTTCATGGAGTTTAATGCCAGAAGGGACCATTCTGATCATCTAGTCCAGAGGTTCTCAAACTTCATTGCACCGCGACCCCTTCTGCCAACAAAAATTACTACACCACCCCAGGCATTGGCTTCGGCCCTGGGCTCCAGCAAGTCTAACAGCAGCCCTGGCAATCCCATTAAAACTGGGTCCTGACCCACTTCGGGGTCCTCCTGACCTAAGTTCCCTGTAAACTGCGAGGCCACGCAGCAGCCTATTTAGTGCCACGCAGGCGTTCAAAGAACCCGCCTAGGGACCCGATGGGGGAGGGGCGCTCCTCTCCTTGTCCCCACCTAGCCTGACCCCCAACATGCTGTGACCAGGACATGGGGCACCCCTCACCCAGCACCAACTCTGGTATGGTGCGGCCCGGGCCGGCCCCAGGCACGGCCAGAGCAGCCTGGACCCAGCCGCGGCCGGGTCACCCAGACCTGCTGGGGCGGTGCGGCCGGATCAGGCCCAGCCATGGTTGGGGCGGGGCAGCCCAGCCCCAGCTGTGGCCAGGGTGGTGCAGCCCAGGGGTGGCCCAGACCCAGGCGCGCCCAGGGTGGCCCTCCCCCAGCCCGGACTTGCTGGGGCCTGGGGTGGGGCGCCTATCCTGCAGCCCCAACCCCAGAGCTGCTGCAGCGGGGAGAGGCGCCTCTCCCTCCCAGCCCAGGTGCTGCTGCGGGAAGAGAGAGCTGGGGGGAGTCCTCTCTCCGTGCATAGCCCCTGAGCACCCTCCTGAACCCCAAACCCCTCATTCCCGGCCCCACCCCAGAGCCCACACCCCCAGCTGGAGCCCTCACACCTCTGCACCCCAACCCTCTGCCCCAGCCCTGAGCCCCCTCCCATACTTCGAACCCCTCGGCCCCACTCCCACCACATGAATTTTGTTATGTGCACCAATATGAAGGGGAGGTGACACACATCACCTCCATATTGGTGCACATAACAAAATTCATCCCGCACATGGGTGGGAAAAATTAGAGGGAACACTGGTCCTGACCCACAGTTTGAGAACTACTGATCTAATCTGAAATTCAGCACCACACACGCCAGAGAACCTTACCTAGTAATTCCTCCATTGAGCCCATAATGTTATGTACTACTCGTATCTCCTGGGCGCTAGAGCAGAAAGGCCCCCATCCTGTGCTGTAGGATGGACAACTTACAGTGCATAGCTCAACACCACTAAGCTCCACAGAGCCTTCTTTAGTGCTTAAATGTACTGTAAGTCATAAAAACATTTATCACCCTTTTGCCAAGAGCAGCATAGTTAGTTTTTATTAGGAACTGTGGACTCCCTCCGGCGTTGTCTTTGCATCTGTGCGTAGCTAGTCATTTCAGACCTGACCTGGGGCCTAGTTCTGCGGTCGACTCACTGTGTAACTTTGGCAAACTTCCCAGTGCCTCAATTTCCCTGAGAGGGATATGATGAACTGTTCAATGTTGTTATGTTTTGAGTTCTTTCTCCCACTGTCAATCCCTGAGCCATCCCCTCCCCGACCAGTAAACCTTAAACACATTTCCTCGTTTGATTTAAAATTCTCTCTTTGACTTTATAGTTTTTTTTTTAAACTTTACAGCTCAGCATCTAAGGTTAATAAGACCGTAAAAGTGATAAAGGTTGGAATGGAACAGTTCTGAAGCAATACAGGCTATGCAATTTCAATGGCAAACATGCATATTATTTCAAAATTCTCAACAATAAAAGCTCAGTTTAGTGCCGTTAGATGCATCCTAAAGAAAATGGAACTAGGTGAAAATGCTTAAGCCAATCAAATGGTACCTTATTCAAGCACTGTGTGGTTTCCTTTGGGAATTAGTATGTAAACTGGAGGGAGGAGCAGAAGGGACAGGTGAAGAGAGAAGACAGATGTGTTAGAATAAATGTTTGATTTGGGCCAGAGTAGAAACATCCAAATCCAGGTCCAAATCTTCCCTAAATTTTAAGCTGTTTGGATCTGGGGTTCTCATCTGGCCACTGCCAGAGAAGGGACAGTTGGGAAGGGTGGGACTGTTTAGATCTGGGCCATTCTTTGGATCACGAATCAGTTTTGTTCAGTGTCATACTAGACCAGGGGTGGGCAAACTACAGCCTGCGGGCCACATCCGGCCCACCAGCCGATTTAATCCAGCCCTCAAGCTCCCGCTGGGGAGTGGGGTCTGGGGCTTGCCCCACTCCCGCGTTCCAGCTGGGGAGTGGGGTTGGGGGCTGCTCTGCGCGCCACAGCTCCTGGAAGCAGCGGCATGTCCCCCCTCTGGCTCCTACATTTAGGGGCAGCCAGGGGGCTCCGCGCATTGCCCCATCTGCAGGTGCCGCTCCCGCAGCTCCCATTGGCCAGGAACTGTGGCCAATGGGAGCTGCAGGGGCGGTGCCTGCAGACGGGGCAGCGCGCAGAGCTGCCTGGCCGTGTCTCCGTGTAGGACTGGAGAGGGGACATGCCGCTGCTTCCGGGAGCTGCTTGAGGTAAGCACCGCCCAGAGCCGGCACCCCTGACCCCCTTCCGTTCTCCAACCCCCTGCGCCAGCCCTTATCCCCCTCCGCCTGAACCCCTCAGTCCCAGCCCGGAGCACCCTCCTGCACCCCAAACCCCTCATCCCCGCCCCGCCCCACCCCACCCCAGAAGCTGCACCCCCAGCCGAAGCCCTCCCTTCCTCCCCCCACACTCCAACCCCCTGCCCCAGCCCAGAGACCCCTCCCACACCCAGAACTTCTCATTTCTGGCCCCACTCCAGAGCCTGCACCCCCAACCAGAGCCCTTACCCCACACTCCCGCCCCATGCCTCTGCCCCAGCCCTGATCCCTCTCCTACCCTCCGAACCCTCGGTCCCAGCCTGGAGTACCTTCCTACACCCCAAATCCATCATCCCCACGCCAGAGCCTGCACCTCTAGTCAGAGCCCTCATGCCCCCCTGCACTCTAACCCTCTGCCCCAGCCCAGAGCCCCCTCCCACACCCTGAACTCCTCTTTTCTGGCCCCACCCCAGAGCTCATACCCCCAGCCAGAGCTCTCACCCCCCCCCGAACTCCAACCCCAATTTTGTGAGCATTCATGGCCCGCCATACAATTTCCATACCCAGATGTGGCCCTAAGGCCAAAAAGTTTGCCCACCCCTGTACTAGACTGTATTGTACAGCCCCTCCCCTAGCACAAGCAAAAGTAAGGGAAAAAAGAAAACCATTGTTGAGGGTTACATCCCATGATCCCTACACATGTGGAGATGGGGACCACGTGAAGATCAGCAATGTGGATGTTCCCCCTGGAAACAAAGCAAAGGGATATTTGAATGACAGCTACTAACCTTAAATCAAGTATCAGGAGGTAGCCGTGTTAGTCTGTTTCCACAAAAGCAATAAGGAGTCCGGTGGCACCTTAAAGACTAACAGATTTATTTGGGCGTAAGCTTTCGTGGGTAAAAAACCCACTTCTTCAGATGCAAGACCTTAAATCAGACTCTCTGGTAGGACAGGGATTTTATCAATCTCTTTTCTGCATGGACTTTCTCAAATCAGCTCCTAGAGGTTCTTGTGTGGGCCTGATGGGAGGAGAGAGAAGACCCAAGTGATCAATTCATCTCAAGTTGGACATGTTAATGAGTATGATAAATACACATAACATTAGCTGGGGAGGCAGTGTTGCCTAGTGATAGAGCAGGGGTCTGTTCCTGGGTCTGCCGCAGGCTTCCTTGGTGCCAGTTATTGCCAACGATGGACCCAGAGCTGCGCCTCTGCCGCCGGGACAGGGTAGGGCTCCCTGCTCAGTCTCCGCTGGAGGGGGGTGTCTGTGCCCCGCTGGGGGCGGGAGGGGGCATCAGCCTGGCCTGGAAACCGGGGTGTGTGTGTTCGTGGCTAGGTCCTTTCGCCACGCTCTGGGCAGGCCCGGGGACACTATGCCGTGTGCCCCGCTTCCCCGCACGGCTCGCGGGAGGGGGCTCCCTCAGACAGCACAGCCGCCACCACCCCACAGCAAGGCGAGCAGCGCGCATGCGCCTCGATAAACACCACCCGCTCCCCCTCCAACGGGGAAGGAGGCCAGAGCGGGAATACGAGCCCCAGAATGCCCTGTAGGACTACAAATCCCGGTGTGCCCCGCGCGGAGCCAGCCGGTGCGCAGGCGCAGTGCACTGGAGGCGGGAGAGATCCAGCTCACGGTGGGTGCGAGGTGCGTCCCGAGCAGGCTTCCCCCGTGCCCCAGGCCAGGGAGCCCTTTGCTGGGGTGCGCGCCCCAGGGAGTCCTCCCGGGTGGGGGTGCGCCGTGCGGCTCCCCAGCCCCCGCGAGAGCCCCTCACCGTGACGCTGGGCAGTACCCGGTGGGCTGGTAGCCAGAGTGGCCGAGGCTGGCGAGCGCTAGCGGGCTGGGGCAGGCTGGCATGGGCCGTCCTGGGTGGGAGGCGGTGCACGGGAGAGCAGGCTGGACATGTAGGCGGGCAGCACTGGCAAGGGGCGCTCTCCCCTGGGGCTTCCCCTTGCCCCTGTCGAGCTCGTGGCTTGTGCCTGACCCTGTCTCGCTCCGTTGCAGTGCAGGGAAGCCATGTCCCAGCCCGGCTCTGCTTGCCAGCCGCCGCCTGACGTTGACACAGATGACTGTCTCCAGGACTATTCCTACCTCTTCAGCCCGGATATCCTCAAGTGAGTGCAGGGAGAAGCGGCTATTTCTGGGCCCCAAACATCCTAGCTGTTCTCTGGCCCATGACCTGTACTAGTCAATGGTTATCTGCACTTTGCTCCTGTCCTGTGTACCATAACAACCCTGCCTCACGCCTTTCAGCCTGAAAAGTGGGGGAGGGTGTTTTTCTGGGAGGTCCTCCCAGGAATTGTCTTTTTATTTAGGAATGTAGGATTTGTTATATCACAGCTGGCCACTGGTCCATCAGATCCAGTATTGTGCTTCTGGCCATGGCCAACATGATTCTCTTTATTTGTACAGCACACAAGTGTGTGTGGTCCTTCACATGTGGTGATAAATTAATATATAGTGCTATTCATCAATATATCTCAAAGGTGGTCAATGTCATTATCCCCGTTTTACTGATGGGGAGACTGAGGCACTGTAGGGTGAAGTGACTCTCACAAAGTGACTCAGCTGGCTAGTGGCAAAGTCAGGATAGAATCCAGGTCTCCTGAGTCCCAGTCCAGTGCTCTATCCATTAGGCCATGTTTCTGCCCTATATAAATAGGGTAGCTTATACTCTACAGGCAGGGCTATCCCTAGGGGAGTGCGGGGCCCAGGGCGGAAGTGATGGATTCGTCTCTTCCGGGACCGACCACGACAGCCAATTGCACTGGTCGGAACCCCCCCTTCAAAGCCCGGGGCCCGAAGCGGTCGCCCCGATTCGCCCTATCCAAGGGACGGCTCTGTCTATAGGTTTCTGCTGCAAAGATATTATGATCTAAATTTATGCTTCAGAGAAAGTTGACCCCTCCACTCATATAGCTGAAGACCTCTAGCCTACTGTCCAGTGCTGCATATGTGGGAAGGGATGTTCCTTCCGCCACCTCTGGTGGTCAGCTCATATCTTGAAGCTTGAGATTTAATTACTCTTCTCTTAGCACGTATAGATTCAGATTCCAAGTTAAAGAAGTATGGGCTGGATGAATGGACTGTAAGGTGGATAGAAAGCTGGCTAGATCGTCGGGCTCAACAGGTAGTGATCAATGGCTCCATGTCTAGTTGGCAGCCGGTTTCAAGCGGAGTGCCCCAAGGGTCGGTCCTGGGGCCGGTTTTGTTTAATATCTTTATTAATGATCTGGAGGATGGTGTGGACTGCACTCTCAGCAAGTTTGCAGATGACACTAAACTAGGAGGCGTGGTAGATACACTAGAGGGTAGGGATCGGATACAGAGGGACCTAGACAAATTAGAGGATTGGGCCAAAAAAAACCTGATGAGGTTCAACAAGGATAAGTGCAGAGTCCTGCACTTAGGACGGAAGAATCCCATGCACTGCTACAGACTAGGGACCGAATGGCTAGGTAGCAGTTCTGCAGAAAAGGACCTAGGGGTCACAGTGGACAAGAAGCTGGATATGAGTCAACAGTGTGCTCTTGTTGCCAAGAAGGCTAACGGCATTTTGGGCTGTATAAGTAGGGGCATTGCCAGCAGATCGAGGAACGTGATCGTTCCCCTTTATTCGACATTGGTGAGGCCTCATCTGGAATACTGTGTCCAGTTTTGGGCCCCACACTACAAGAAGGATGTGGAAAAATTGGAAAGAGTCCAGCGGAGGGCAACAAAAATGATTAGGGGTCTGGAGCACATGACTTATGAGGAGCGGCTGAGGGAACTGGGATTGTTTAGTCTCCAGAAGAGAAGAATGAGGGGGGATTTGATAGCAGCCTTCAACTACCTGAAGGGGGGTTCCAAAGAGGATGGAGCTCGGCTGTTCTCAGTGGTGGCAGATGACAGAACAAGGAGCAATGGTCTCAAGTTGCAGTGGGGGAGGTCCAGGTTGGATATTAGGAAACACTATTTCACTAGGAGGGTGGTGAAGCACTGGAATGCGTTACCTAGGGAGGTGGTGGAGTCTCCTTCCTTGGAGGTTTTTAAGGCCCGGCTTGACAAAGCCCTGGCTGGGATGATTTAGTTGGGAATTGGTCCTGCTTTGAGCTAGGGGTTGGACTAGATGACCTCTTGAGGTCCCTTCCAACCCTGATATTCTATGATTCTATGATTCCTAATGTTATTCAGCCCCTTGGATTTGGATTAACATCCCCATTTATAGATTTAAAAGTACTGTGTCATCAGTGAAGATGCTTGAGAACTGCCCTCTCTATGGAAGGGTTTCTGCAGACAGACAGATTGCTATAGCAGATGGACATTGCTGCCTCAGTAGATTCAACCTCAGGAGTGTCTCGAAACTGACCCCTACATTTGGAGTCTGGGACTAAGTATCCTGAGCATGCTATTTAACATGGTGAGTGCTAGTATCTGATCTGCTTCCTAAAGCAGCCCCCATGCCAACAGTCCACTGTCTAACTCCAGGGGCTAGGGTATTTGTTGCTTCCGTGAGATTGCTGTGCATGCACTTACCGTCACCGCTGTGTCTTTGGCTTTGATCAGAATTGTTGCCCTCCATGACTGAGGCAGGGAAACATCTAGATGAATTCCATGTGAGAGTTTGGCTTTGAACGGCTTTACTTCCTCTGCCAACAGGGGCAAAGTTGCGTTCATCACTGGAGGCGGCTCTGGGATTGGATTCCGTGTAGCAGAGGTTTTCATGAGGTATGGATCTCTGATCTTCCATGACAGTTTTGTTCCCAGTCCACCCCATCTGCTTCCTCTACTTTCATATTCCCCAGCTTCCTCCATTTGTCGTTTAGCTGAACCAGCCCAGAATATTTCCCTCAGTATAGCTTTTGTCTGATTCCTGAACTCGCCCTTTGGAAAAGCCTAACTTTGATTTTTGTGACTTTTCATTTTGCTGCTGGATCCCAGCTAGCTTTGTACATACCAAAATCTATTGAGAGAGGCCATTCTCTTGTGCTTTCCAGCACAGTTTTTCATGTTCAAACAGCTGGTGCTCATATATTTTCATAGCAAATATCTTAAAAACATAAAGTAAAATCACTCCATGGCATCTGTGCTGTATCCTTTGTATATTCTGATATGTATAGCTTGTCCAGAGAGGATCCATCATATAAGCCAGATGGATGATTGGAGGAATGCTTGTGTTCCATTCCCGTCTTTCAGATCCTGCCAGTTAGATTGTATCAAATGCAGAGAGAGACTTCTCTGGTCATGTTAACCATCTAACTTGTTTAAATCTCTTTACTTTTGTGCACTGAACATATTGTTGGTGCTAAATTAAATTCTAATGAATGTCCGTCATTGCTGGCCATTCCTCTCTGTGCTTTCTGGACACTTTACTCTGTAATCTGGTTGCTCTCCAGAATAACTGTGTAATAGTATCTTTACTTTTGGTAACATTTGTAATAGCCTTCTAACTCTGATTTAATTTAACCTGAGCACGCTATGGATTGAACACTGAATTCGCTCCCATGCTGAGCCCTGTCGGGCTCTCTTTGCTACAATTTCCTGTTGTACTTTTCTTCGGATGATGAATCCCCTATGCACTGTTACTGATGCATAGATTTTAGGGCCAGAAGGAAGCATTCTCATCATATAGTCTGACCTTGATAACACAGGCCAGAAGACCTCACCCGGTGATTCCTGCATCCTGCCTTTAACTTCTGTCTGAGCTAGACTAGATCTTTCAGAAAGAAAGAGGGAGCCAACTTACCTTTGCCAGATGCCCATTGTGGAGAGTGGAAGGCACATCATGAATAATACCACTTGCTCTCAAACACTATAGAAAAGAGAAGTGAGCTCAACCTGTCTCCTTCCCCTGAAAACACTGTGGTGAGAAATTCCTAGGCATTCCTGTGGCAGAGCTCAGTTTCAGGTTTACTAAGCCACTGTGGGTGTGACAATTAATCTCTGTAAAGATTTTGAGGTAGAGGAGCTGTGTGCGGTCTGTACGAGGCATTCAGTGTCCCCATTGGGGTTTCTTTGCAGGCATGGCTGCTGTACAATCATTGCCAGCAGGAACTTGCAGAGAGTAGCTGAGGTGAGTAGATGGGAGTCTGGTGGGGCAGGAGCTGGGAAATCCAAGACCATTTTTGCATATTTCCAAAGAGACCAGAATACGATAGGGGCAGTAAGGCATGGTGGTACTAAACACCTAATGAACTCCACCCTCTTTTGTCTCCATGCACATCTCGAGGAGTATGGTCCGTTCCAGGCACCTCAGTATCCGAAAGATAACCAGTGAGCTGAGGGGGTATGACAAGGAGTATTAGGATAAGGCTGAGCTAAGAATTCCTCTTGGTGAGATCTGTTGCATTTTGGATTAGTCTTCCAAGGGTAGTGGTGGAAGTTTCAGTGCTTGAGTTACTTACAGCAGGACTGGATGGAGCACTGGAAACAGAACAAGGAATAATGGTCTCAAGTTGCAATGGGGGAGGTTTAGGTTGGATATTAGGAAAAACTTTTTCAGTAGGAGGGTGGTGAAGCCCTGGAATGGGTTACCTAGGGAGGTGGTGGAAGCTCCTGCCTTAGAGGTTTTTAAAATCCGGCTTGCCAAAGCCCTGGCTGGAATGATTTAGTTGGGGATTGATCCTGCTTTGAGCAGGGGGTTGGACTAGATGACCTCCTGAGGTCCCTTCCAACCCTGATATTCTAGGATTCTAAAAATCAATTGGAATAACACCACCACCCAGCTCTTATCTAGTGATTTTCATCCATAGATCTCAAAAGTGCTTTACAAAAGGGGTGGGGGGTTCCAGTATCATTATCCCCATTTTACACATGAAGAAACTGAGGCATAGAAAGGAAGTGACTTGCCCAGGGTTACCCAGTTAAACCAGTGGCAGAGCTGGAAATGAGACCCAGTTCAGAGTAGGGTCTAATCCTGTATTGGCTCCAGAGAATGGACTACCTGGGACCTAGCAGGGTTTTTCCAGTCACTACATGTTGTTTTTTTCATGATTAAAAGGCAGGTAAAAAGAATGAAATTCTAGAAAGTAGAGGAAGAAAAAGGCCTCTTAGGCCCTGTCTACACGGGTAAGTTTCTGCGCAGTAAAGCAGCTTTCTGTGCTGTAACTCCTGAGGTGTGTACACTGCCAAGCTACTTAATGCGCAGAAACTGTGCAGTTGCAGGACTGTAAAAAACCACCCTGACAAGAGGCGTACAGCTTTCTGCGCCGGGGGTACAGTGCCAAGGTAGACGTAGACACCCTGGTCGATTACAGCGCTGCGATTGGCCTCCGGGCGGTGTCCCACAATGCCTGTTCTTGCCTCTCTGATCATCGGTTTGAACTCTACTGCCCTGCCCTCAGGTGACCAAGCATCATCCTCACCCTGTAAAATCCTTTGGAATTTTGAAAGTCTCCTTCCTGTTTGCTTGGTGATGCGTGCAGTGGTCTCAGCGCATCTTTCCAGGTGACCATGCCTGCGCCACGCACAAGGCGATCCCCCACTTGGAGCAATGCCGAGCTGCTGGACCTCATCAGCATTTGGGGAGAGGAGGCTGTCTAGTCCCAGCTGCGCTCCAGCCATAGGAATTATGATACCTACGGACAGATTTCATGATGCATGACAGAAAGGGGCCATGAATGGGACACGCTGCAGTGCAGGGTCAAAGTGAAGGAGCTGCGGAACGCCTACCATAAGGCGTGGGAGGCAAACTGCTGCTCTGGTGCTGCATCCATGAGCTGCCAGTTCTACAAAGAGCTGGACGTGATACTCGGTGGCGACCCCACCTCCACTGCGAAGGCCACTGTGGATACTTCGGTGGCTCGCGTGCCAGTCCAGAGTGGACCGAGCCAGGAGGAGGAAATCTTGGACGAGGGGGAGGGGGACCCAGAGGCAGAGGATGACTTGGAGGTCAGAGATTCATGCAGCCAGAAGCTCTTTTCTACCCCAGAGGAGGCTAGCCAGTCACAGCTGTCGGATCTTGGTAAAGCACAAACAGGAGAGGAGGCCCCTGGTAAGTGGAATTGATTTGGGGAATTGCTGAAGCGAGTTGTTGGGGGCAGGAGGGTTGCAGAAAGCAGGCTTGTGTCTGTATGATGCACGTACCACCACATGCCTAGTCTGAGTGGCAGAACAGGCTGTTGATTGAGGCAGATTCCCATGAAGTGAGGGAATCCGAGATCTCCAGGAAACTCTCATGGAGATACTGGGCAATCTGCTGCCGCAGGTTCTTTGGCAGAGCTGCTTTGTTTCTTGCCCCATTAACGGTAACTTTCCAGCACCACTCTGCCGTTAAGGGAGGAGGGGTGTGGAACATTGCTGCACACAGGGGAGCCTCATAAAGGCCAGGGCAAAAGCCGCAGTCTTGGAGAAGACCCTCCCTTGATTTCCTGCTCACCCTCATCAGCGAGATATCTTCCATAATGCACACAGCCTGTGGAAAATGTGAGGACAGGAATGATTATCAGCCCTCCCCCAGCTCCCATAGTGCTGTCTTTCCCCAAGAGCCACGTGCCTAGAGTACAGTAGGGTCCGGGAACACTGATTTACCCTGCCCCTGCAGCTACTCACCATTTTGGGGATCTTGTGGCTCATGTGTGTTTGCCTGGGGTCAGCCAGTTAGTGACAGGTATGTGAATACTGGCTGTGTTTTAAATCACTGAATCAGTGTATTGCAAACAATACTGCTTCTGTAAAATGTTGTTTTGGCTTCACAGAGATGACCTTGGGAGCCCAGCCTCCCTCTTTATCGGCAGCTGCACAGAATTAGAAAGCGGCCACGAAGAACTACGGAGGACTTTCTGGTGATGTTATCATGCACTATGCGGCCAAAAAACGGGAATTGAAGGAGAGGCGGGACAGCAAGAAGAGGGACCGAAAGGAGAACAAGGCACGCCAGAATGAAGCCACGGAGTGGCTCTTAAACATTATGGAGCGCCAAGTGGACACGCTCCAGGCGACACTAGCTCTTCAAACCGAGCAGCTCTGCACCCACCCTTCCCTGCAGCCGCTGTCGCAAAACTCTTTCCCATGTGCCCCCCAGACACTGCCAACACACTCTTATCAATCTCCTGGCTCCAGTCTGTACCCGTGGCATTCCACTCCTCCCCCCTCACAGTCCAGCACTGTGGACTCCCAGTACCCCCTGCACTCAACACCCATCCCTCTGCAGTTTGGCCCTGCTGAAATACAGTACTTGCTGCACTGTACTCCAAAGTAGAAGGATGGATATGATCCCTGGACATACACAAATCTTTAACTGTCCTCGGACCCCCACCTCCTCCTGGGACCTTCCCTTCCCCCATCCTCCTCAGTGCTGATGTGTTTTTTTGTTTGACTCTCTCCTCCAGTTGTTGTTTTTTAATAAAATAATTGTGTTGGTTTGAAAGTAATCTTTATTCTATTAATTGAAAGTAAACAGAGCCATGCAGAGCAACAACAGTTATCTTAAACCTTCATATTGTATCGTCTGCACCAATCACGATCACCTCCTAGCATTACAAGCACTGCAATCCCGAGCATAGCAACAAATATCAGTGGCTTTCAGCTTCAGATTGCTGCCTCAAGGCATCCCTGATGCCCCGCGACCCCCTCCGCCTTCCCACAGCTCTTAGCGGCAGAAGAGGAAGAGATGTTCTGTGGGATAGCTGCCCAGAGTGCACCTCTCCAAGTACCGCCACAAGTGTGAACATGCTATTGCGCCAGCAGCTGACAGTGTTAACACACAACAGCGATTTCCCTTCAGCTCTCTCTGAGCGGCGCTGTAACTTTGCCAGTGTAGACATACCCTTAGACTTGACTATGCATGAGGAAAATGCCCTAAACTGAATGACTTTGTTAAATTGAGCTTTATTTGTTTTATTTCAATTGAATCAAAGCCTCCAGTTGTGAGTTGCTGATTTCCATGCAGATTCATAAAGTAACAGCAGAACATCTGATGTAATCCAGCATCCCCTTCGCCCTGTGTAGAATTCACTGAAATGGAACAAAGATCCAGATAGAAACTGGAGAGTGAATCGGTGTGACTGATGGACTGCTTAAGGTGCAGGATTGCAAACCCCGAGCACTTGAAAAATCATGAGTTGGGCTAAAAAAAAACCTACCTGATTTAAAAAAAAAAAAAATTTTTTTTTTTTTTTGGTTTTTTTTTGTATTTGCCTTTTGGGGTCTGAGTCTTTAGGGGCCACTAGGTTACATTTTCAAACTTTTCTCTGCAATTATGAGGGCTAGAAACTTCCTTGTAATTTATTTATGTAATAAAAGCTGAGCGTCTCATGAAATCACCTGACTCCAGGAGCTGGGGCTTGAAGAGAAACACCAAATGTTGTGGAACTTGTGCTAAAATTGCAAGAGTTGGCAATACAGCAAGTCATGGGCATGCATCAACCCATTCTGATGTGCACTTAATTGTTTGAAGTTGTGTGGGAGGGGGAAAGACCAACAAATAAAAAAGAACATCCTGAAAGTCACAAACCCTACCTCTCCAGGCCAGGGGGCGTTGGCCGTTCTCACCCTGCTCATGCAGGGGTGGGGGGAGGGGCACTGTGATGCTGCTGCAGCTGATAAGCACACAGGCTCTGCCACCATCCTCGTTTCCCTGCCTGCCCAACGCTCACTGGCTCCAGGTTCCTGGTACTCTTCCACGGGGTAGGGGTCGGGAATCACCACTTGGGTTTTCCTCACAGCAGTAGCAGCACGTGGGGCTCTGACAAAGCTGCGGCTCCTCCAGGGAAGGTGGTGTGTAGGTCAAGGGCAGCCTGGCTATCTGTGGTCCACCAGCACCTTGCTGGCCTTCCAGCAGTCGTGTGCTGTACATGCCCTGCGGGATCTGTCCCTCAGCGGGGGGCTGGAGCAGGGAGAGGCTGGGGCCGCAGGACCTGGCTTGAGCATCAGGGACATGAGTCATAAATGTGGGGGCCCCAAACTGTGCTTTAGGGATTTCCTCCTTCACTCCTGGGACTGGCCCCATCCCCAGGAGTGGGGGAGAGCGAAGACTGGTTGACTCCTGCCCCGGGCAGTCTCCCAGTCCAGCCCTGCCATGTGTCCTGGGGGGCAGAAAAGAGAGAAATGGTGTTGGAGGGAGAGGGATAGAGA